AAGAATCACTACAGATAAGAAAAGTGCACCTGTTTCATCTTTCAGTGAAAATGTATTCAACTTTCCATCACTCCCTAAAAGTGGAGGCCCTCGCTGCTGACTTCATGCTTCTTTGCTGTGACCATGTCTGCTACCAACCAGAAAATGTCTGCTGCTTTGTAACCTTTCGTTTGCTTGTTTACCATCTGTTTATGAAAACACGTTAGTTCTGCCAGCGTAGTTCCTGCTTGGTGCATGTCGACAAGCTGTATGATAATCCTGCCATCATCAGGTGAACGATGCTCAATTAACCAATCTCCTGTGGTGGGCCATTTTGAGAGAGAAGCTCCAAGCCCCCTGAAAGTGATCCGCAGGCCACGAATAGTCCACGGTCCAGACTTTGAATATGCCTGCTTCACAAAACTGCAGCCACAGCACGTTATATTATTACACTGCTGGACAGATAAATGTTACAGACAGCGTCACTTACTTTCTTGTCAGCGGCTGTCTGCTTGTATCTCCTTCTTTGTCCCACAGAAGGTACAAGCAGTAATCAAAAATCTGCATTCATAACATGCTGTCCAAGAATCACTCAACAAGCCACGATAAAACCATGAAAGGTAGCGTTCTAATCAACTGGTGAGCGAGCTGGCGAGATAACATGCGATTAGACCATATTGACAGCCTGCTAATCACTGTCAGTGTTTGTACCACTGGCAGCATACATCAGGTTTGTTTTGATGCCAAACAAGTGGCAGCCAGAAGCACTTCAAGGAATTATAGCAGAAGGGCATATTGCCTGTGTGAATTTAGAGTGAGGAGGAGGTGTGGAAACAAGATATGGCAAAAAACCTATCTACCAAACACCTTTCCAGTGGCCGATTGGCTGGCTCGAGGCAGGAGCGAACATGACTCAATCTTTATCTTGAATGCCAGCAGCTAAATTACTATACAGCTCAAAGAGAATGTGCATGTGAGTGTGTGTGTGTGTGTGTGTGTGTGTGTGTGGTCCTGCGCAGTAAGTGAACAGATGGATGACTCATCCACCAATCATGTGACTCATCAATCACTGCAGTTACCATTTCCCTCCCTCCTTCTGAATTTTTCCGTTCTTCAGTTATTCTTCCCCTTTTTTCATTTACATTCTTGCTCTTTTTTTCTCATGTTCATTGTGATTGTCTGGAAACACACTAAACCCCCTCCATATGTTTTTCTTTATTTGCCTCCACACTGATGCAACTGTGTCATGTATGAGTCGTGTTGTGTCGTTGATCTCCAACTGATTGCCTTCCTGTTTTGTGTGTTTGGGTTCATTACTCATGAATCAAGTGTTCTTGCTACAGTTGCTGCTGTACAAGTACAACATAGCACTCGCCAAAAAGCCATTAAAAAACTGAACTTTAATAAAATAATTGCTTTTATTTTTTATCATATAGCAAAACTAGTAATCATCATGCTGTTATTTACACATTGCACGGGCATATTTATTTCACACTGTACATCTTACAATGCTAAAGGTGACATCAACAACAACACTCTCCTTTTACAAGACGGATGGCTTCACTGTGGACACAGTGGCCCTCCTCCTTTGAGATTTCTTTTTTTTTATGTTCACAGTTTATTCAGAGAAAACAACCATCTTGAATTCCCTATACTGTTTTATTTTTTATCTTTTTTTTTGTTCTTTTTTTTTTGTTCATTTTTTAAGATGCAAGTAGAAAGACGTGCATTTAACGATTTAAGCACAATCCCTGACTCCCCGGCCTGAAACTTTTCAATGAATTTCTTCTGAAAATGAACAAAATGTTTGTAGCCTCTTGGTGGAAATCTGTTTAAAAAGGCTGCAGAACAGATAAGTGTGATTTCAAGTTTTTTTTTTTTTTTTTGTTTGGAAAGAAAGGAAAATAGAGATAATTGATGATCCCGGAAAAATGGCAAAAGAACAACGCGTGAAAAAATAAATAGGTGAGTGAAGACGTGAATTTGAGATGAACAATGAGAGAAATCATGAAGGACTCCTACAAGGTCGAGGAGTGCTGTATGGCAGCAGTGATGGTGTCATGGTGGCCATAAATATGTAGACACAATAACCTCTAGATCCCAAAATGATTGAAAACCCTTCGTCCACCAGGTTGGAAGTGTTTAGTGTTTAAGTTTGTGCTTTTGGAGTCCACAGGGTTTCTACACTGGGATCGGTTGCGATGATAATATTATGCATTGTGATATTTCCCTTATAGAACCATGCTGCTTGTAAGGCAAAAATCTGAATCTTGAGATTGAAAAACAAAAAAACTGAAATGTGTGTATTTGGCACCTTTGCAAATTGCAGCTGTTTAAAGTCAATCCAATCGGGAATAAGAAAGGCAAGTACACACATCAAATACAACAAAAATATACTGTCATTGAATATTCGACATTAGCAGTGTTCAGTTTTTTTAAATTCGTGTAGCTAAGAAGTCATTGAACTACTTTAGTTTTTGTAATATGACATACAGAATATAAAACAAAAGATACAAAGTGATGTTGTAAACATGGTTCTCTTACAATGGGCACATCTGCTTGTGAATGTGTCAAAATATGTGATTAAGTGTAGGTGTGTTGATGTATGTGTGTGTCTCTGTGTGTGTGTATCTGTGTGTGTGTGCCCTCTAGAAAACTCTGAAAATGCAAGAGCATCAGAGATTGACCTGAATGGAGGCAAACATACACCATGGTATGTTCTGTTTCAAAATGTAAACTGAGCAAGAGGCTGAACATGGTTACAGGGAGCTTAAACTGGGACCCCTTCATCCTCTCCCTGACAGAGAAAAATCAACGAAAGATACAGTGATTAAAACAACGTAAATCTAACTTTTTACTTCTTGACCCTTAAATTTCCCATCAGGCTCAAATCACATATCTCCTCCGAGTCTTTTTTTTCACCTCTCTTTTCTCCAGCTACTGTAAATTCTATCCCACCTCTGTCAGTCCCTCTGATCTGACAAAATGTCCAAAAAGTCTCTCAATACATTCTGCGTTTCATGTAGATCCTCTCAATAAAGTTTTCCAGCTCCTCCTCACTGTCCAGCTGAGGCACCAGCCCATCTTCCTCATAGTCATCTCCTGGTGTGACTTGTTGATAGTAGTACGGGGGTCGCCTGCCTCTCCTGGGCGTGGTTATTGGTTTGGGCGGAGGTAGGGGTTGGTAGGTCCGTGGGTGAGGGAGGATATAGTTAGAGATATAAGGGGTGAGAGGTAGGCGCGGCGCTGGCTGCTGCCTCCAGCCCTGTCCGCGATTCTTACCCCCAGCCCTGTGCCTGCGCCTTGGGGCCTGGAGGTCAAGTTCCTGGGGGCCGAATGGCTGGTCTCTGGAGGGGGAGGGCTTGCCATAATATTGTGGTTTAGGATACGGGAAATAAACAGGGTAGTATGCCCGATATGGCTTCTGGTAGTATGGATAGGAGGGGAAGGCTAAAAACTGTTTCTGGGGTTTGTACCAGTAGTCAAGCTGCTTCTGAGGCTTATACCAATAGTCCTGCTTGTATGACTTGACTTTGTCCTTGTGCCACTTTTTGTTGGACTTGTTGTACCTATAAGGGGCTTTCTTGGGGTTTTTTGAGACTGTGTAGTGGTAGATAGGCGGAGCAGCCAGAGGTGGAGGTACCAGAGGCCTGAAGCGCGGGGCGACAGGGTTGCTGTTGGTCGGCAGCTGTTGCAGCTCTTTCCTTTTTTTCTTCTTCTCCTCCACGTCACTAATAATCTCAATCACATCGTCAGCAGGCAGGTGCAGCTTGCTGCTGATCTCAATCAGCCTGTCGATCATTTGCTGGTCCAGGTCATCTTCATCAGGGATGACCTCCTCTGAGCGCTTGTCCTCAGCTGTGTTGCTGGCGGCCCCCATGCTGCTTTTCTGCCGGGGCTTCATGTAGGACTGCTGCTTCCTCCCCATGTACTGCAGCAGCATGTCAGAGGCGATGTCTGCCAGCCTCTGCTCCTCCTCCCTGGCTCGCTCCGCCTCCTCCTGCTGCCGGAGCACCTCCTGTTTTTCTGCGCGCGCTCTTGCCTCCTCTTCCATGTGGGAGAGGCTCTCCTCTTCTTCTTCCACCTCCTCCTCCAGCTCCTCTCCTTCATCCTCAAAGTCATCCATGAAGTTGCCCCCCTTGACGGGTCGGTTGCGGGACTGGTTCTCCTCCCAGTGCAGCTTCTTCCCGGCTCGTGCCAGCTGAGTGTTGTATGCCTTGTAGCCCTTCAGAGGAGGCAGGATCTCATTATCTTGGAGACCCAAGTCAATGTTTTGGAAGTAGCCTCTTATTTTGCGCTGCAGAGAGGGGTCAACTCCCTGTGAGGTGGAACCTGCTCTGGCCTTGTATAAGAAACTTTCTAAATCATTCCCCTCCTCCTGCCTCTCATCTTCTTCTGTCCCTTCCTCCTCATTTACACTATCAGTGCCCACATCCTCCACGGACCACCCTTGATCCTCCTCTGACCTTGTGTTTTTATCCTCCTCATCCCTTTCCTTCAAGTCATCACCCTGAGCAGCTGTCAAATGGCCTACAATTAGCTGTTCAATAGCCTTATCAGCCCCTGGCCCCTCCCTCTCCTCCTCCACCCCCCTCTCTCCCTCTGTCTCCCCCGTTCTCCTTATCTCACCACCCTCCAAGCCTTCAATGGAGGGCAGCTCGTGACTCTGATCCTCTTCCAAGTCTCTGTCCCTGCTCGCCTGGATTTCACTCTCCCCCGGGTGGTCCAGGGCCTCTAAAAGAACAGCAAGCACCTGCGCAGGGTCCGTCACTTTATCTGACTGGTTATCTTGACCCGGGCCCCGGCCCCGGTCTAGCGACGAGTTGTCAGGGCTGGAGAGACTCTGGGGTGGGGGTGAGAGAAAGGGGGCAAGGTTGTCCTCTTTAAGGTCTGTCCGGGTGCGCCCCTCCACCCCTCCCTCCCTTCCCTCACCCCACGCAGGGGCGGTGCCAGCCAGCTGTGGAGTGACAATGAGCAGGACCAATAGGATGAGGTGGGCTGTGGAAGGGGCGTGATGACAGGTCATGACCATGCAGAACTGGCAGGAGGGAGGTTAAGCACCTGAAGAAGAAGAAAGGAAGACGGAAAAGGGAGAAGGACAAAAGACACATGAGAAATGTTTCACATATCATCTGTTTTTTTCCCACTGGAATCAAGATTATGTTGAATTTCAATGGCAGTGTGAGCACATCTGGATCATTTAATAATATATTATTATTATAATATATACGGCTGCATGGTAAAAAGGCCAGTCTTGAAAAAAAAGAACACTTCCCTTCAGACTTATGATTAAGGCACACAGACTGCCAGAAATGTAAAATACTAGAGAGATTACCTGTCCCTAATTTACAGACAAATCATTTTTTCCACCATGAAGCCACCATACAAAGGCAGTTAACACTGTGACAAACGTTTGAGAACAAAGCACGCAGCCAAACGCAGTCTGATGAGCCATGCCAGATCCAACAAAGAAAGTTGCACGCTTCCCCTTCTCATGTCTGTTTTAAATTTAACTATGGATATTTTTTTAAAGCAAATTCAAATTCTGGTTTAAAATATTTCTTATGTCATTTTTTGCCATTTATGTGTCTAGAAACACAGAGATGAAGGTCTGATCTGACCGCACAAGCCAGTCGTGATTCTCTCGATATTTAATTGCCCATGTCTGTTAAGAGGAAGGCAATAATTTGCATACATAAATTGCGCCTCCAACCTACACGTGAGCCATTTTTTGTCTGTGGTCGTGCGTTAACCCAGTCATTATCTCTCCACCGCGCGGACGAATTGATGCATGCTCTTATATTTTTCGTCTCCTGGTGAGATTGAACCGAATAATCTGTTACAACAGTAAAGAAATCTGCACGTATTGAATTTTCAGTTTGAATTTCTGGCATTTAAAAAAAAATAATGTCTCACCTCTGTCTCCAAGCCAGCCCAACCGGAGCGCACGCGCTTGCCATTTTAAGCGCAAAATGCCTATTTGATGAGAAAAATACAGAAAGCACAAATTGATCCGAGCTCTGCCTCTGTATTAGCTGTGATTTTGGTATTCCATGCGTCAAAGCGATCATGAGCAGGACACCGGTATAAAGACGGCACGCACGGGGAAGTCATGCGTAAAGCTGGTGGCTACGGTAGAGTTATTTAACCCTACGGTCCCTGAGTGGTCCATCGAAATTGTAAATGAGCCCAATGTTAAGATTTTAGCGCATAAAGCCGTTTTGGGGCGCACAAGGAACGAGGGGGAGAGCAGTCAGTAAGTAACACGGCTTTGTCCTTGTGTGGTGTGGGCATGTTTCCCCTCAGTGGCAGTGGTGGAATGCAGACAAGCATAAATTTGGGCAGCACAGCACAGTGTGCAGCCCAAATTTTTAACTATTTCAATTTTTATAAACTGGATCAGTAAGTTGGAAAACGAAACAAATCCACATGATAATGAAACTGGCCTGCAGAAGACGTGATTTAGACTCTAATTTAATTATAACGTGATAACAAGGAATTGACTGTGGATTTTTAAATCTCCCAAAATGGCACGATTTTTGGTACATTCACGTTTGAATAATATCGACCGAATTTTTAAAGGGGCTCTTGAGCAGCAGCTGCACATAGAAATATTTTTTAGAGATAATTATCTATAATTATAGAGCCTTGATTCTCACATTATCCCCCCCAAATAAATACAAAATAACATTGCATTGTTTTTTGCTGTTACAATTATTAATCATTTTACACATTCATACATTCATAAAAACGTATTTTTTGTAGAACATGTGTTCATATTTTAATTTAGTAAAAAGCAAAAAAAAAAAAAAAAATCTGGAAAATAACTTAATATTTCTAAAATAGCTTAAATTAAAAAAATGTTTTACTTAAAAATAAATCACAGAAACAGACGCAGTGCACTTCTACTTTAAAATTAGACAAACACCAATCGCCCATGTTGCAGCAAACAGATAAATCCTAGTGATAAAGTTGACGTTGTGACAAAATTCTTCCACACTCAAGCCTAAAACAAGCCTCTCTTGATTTTTTTACAGATAAAAATCAGAATTTAAAAACGATTAAACAAATAGCAGTGATAAATGGCCTGATCTATCTGATTATGGCTTGTGAATGATCCAAAATGAGATTTCGTTCCACTTACCTGGAGTCCCACTGGGGGGTGGGGAAGTGGTGAAACTCACAGCGCGGGTAAAGCCAAGATTATTTCATGAATGGTGGATCACCTGAGAGAATTTCTGTTTTTCCCCCCTCTCTCTTCAGCCTGTGACCAACATCAAGACAGAAAAAAAAATCAAACTGTCGGATCTTTATTTAGTGGTGTGGTGTGTTTGTATGGCAGCAGCCCTGGCGCTAATGTACAATTGAGTGAATGTTTTCAGCTCCACTGTCAGCGCAACTTTATTGTATATACCCCTGACTGAACCACGTGACCACCCCCACCACCACCCCCCAGCTGCAGGCAGTGCTGACGTCACTTCCATTGATAAGAATGTTGGTGTGGAGATGGCACTGTGAGTCTAGGCTGGCCCCAGCTGATGAATGAACGGAAATGGCATGAATGAAATAGTACTTTTCCTCAATGAAAAGAGAAAATTGTAGAGATAGAGCTGGTACGCAGCCATTTTGCTTCTCACATATTAAAGGTTAGTGTGTTGCTTCTTCCTCCCTTGTTCCTTCCTTCCTCTGCTTCAGATTCAGGAGCTTGGGGGGAGAGACAAAAAAAAAAAAAATAGAGTGACCTCGTTCACAGGCTATTAATTAGGGTCATTTGGTGACATGCTCCAAAGAATCATTGACTTGCATCTGCAGCTTCAGACAGAGAAGTGGTGTGCACTCCAAGGGCTGATTTCTCTTGCTGTCTGGTTGTTAGGCTTTTGTCTGAGGTGGCCCTGATCCTATGTGGCTACATGGCTCACGGGTCACGGGAGCAGCCGTGCTTCGCTGCTCAATTTCTGCTCAATTTCCAGGGATTGCACAATTTTCCACCCGCTGTCTCACATCATTTCTGGCTGCTCTCCATCTGTCAGCAGCACATTGCGCTCTTAACATATCACCGTTCTGTTTCACACCACAGAGACACAAGTGAGTAACCATTTGTGTCCAAATCAGTAACACTTTACAATAAACGCTGCATGCTCAAGTGATGCACAATGATTTAATGCAAGAATGAAAGCAGGATGTAGCATGAATTCTTGTTGCTAACCATTCAGACATGAAGTCCCAGTGAGTTTATATGATTAGTTACATACATTGATATGCCCCCAGATTAGCCAGAATCCAGTTAGAGGAGGGTTATTCAGACCCATGCATGGGATCGGCGTCTCGAAAAGCAGAACACTATATTCTCTTAAAAATATGATGCTGTTTTATAGTAGTCAGATGCAAACATCTATATCACAGGAGGGGGTGGCATGTTTTTTCTTTTTAATTATGTTTATTGTTTGTTGTAGTACAGTGTGGCACAGTAGGGGTGCACTAAAACCAAGTAAATCTAACAATGCCAGTTTATAAACCAAGAGAAAATGGATGTTTGAGCATATACGGCAACAGTTTACATTGTAGAAACATGTAGAAGTTTACATGTGATTAGCAGTTTGATTAAACAGCGTCATATTTTGATGAGAATTGGCACTGCTGCATGATCAAATGGGTCTGAAATTCTATTTTCTGTATCACTTAACCAGCTAATCTAGTGGCATATATAAAATGCAAACCACGGATACGTTCTCAACAATGCTGCAGTGAAGGTGTGGTTAGGTTTAGGCCCAAAATTCAATTGGCTATGGTTGGAAAAAGATACTGTTTTGGCTTAAAACACCCACATTTGGGAGCACAAAAGCTGCTTGGAAACGCTGTTATGTGTTGGTTAAACACCCAGTTTCGGTAACTCAATTGCTGCTGGGAAACGCCGTCATGTATCGTAGAAAAACACCCATGTTCAGTGTCTCAAACACTGCTGTAAAATGCCACGTGTCAGTGAAAAACACCTGGGATTGGTGCCACAAACACTGGTGGAAATGCAGTGATGGATTGCCAAAAACATCCAGTGATGTTGGTTTTGAACAGTGGTCTGCAGCTTGGCAGGAAAATTGATAAACACAGCAACTATCTGTGAAAAATACCCAGTTTCGTTGCCACAAATGTTGCTGGAAAACGCTTCAGTGTACTGCCAAAAATACGAAGGTTCAGTGCCACAAACATGGGTGGAAATGCCACACAGGGTCACCAAAAGTCAACTGGCGTTGTTGGTTTTGAACAGTGGACTGAAGCTTGGCAGGAAAAGCGCAAAATGCGGCAATGTGTCATTGAAAAACACCATAGACGCTGCTGGGAAACACTGCACTGTGCTGCTAAAAACACTCAGGTTCAGTGCCTCAAACATGGCAGGTGCCTTGGTAATATGCCATTTACCATTCCCTCCACCCCCTGATACTAAAGACAGCTGATATATTACGTCACTTTAGAAATGTTGATATGATACATTTGAGACATGCAAATGTAATGCATTCATGGTGCGAACATTTTCTTCTGGGGACTGGGCTGTGACTCAATGATTCCTAAAAGTTACCAACAGGAATTCACAATGCACCCTGCATTCATTTATGATTCATTAATTCGTCATGACTCATGCATCAGTTACTTAAGAACCTGATTTGTACCCTTATCAGAAAGTGTTACCCACAAATCAATGCATGAACTACTGCTACAGCAAAGAAGCTTCTCTTAATGATTACTTCTATGCTCTCTGACGCTTATCCTGATAAAGATTTTAGATTTTAGTGAATGGAATAGAATGATTTCAAGATTTGTGTGGTACAGTAGGAGGCCCCGAATTAAATATAAGACTCTACAATTATCCAAAGATAAGGGCGGACTTTCTCTCCCATGTGTGGAGGATTATTTCATTGCCGCCCAGCTGAGACCACTGGTATGCTGGTGTAATCCAAACTATTCAGCCAAATGGAAAGATTTGGAATTAATACAATTTGAATCACCAGCACAGTCAATATTAGGTAACTGTCAACATCATTACCCTTACTTGGACAAGTTAAACCAATGGACCAGAGTCGCCCTTAAGGTGTGGTTTAAAACCTGTAAAAGGCTCCACCTTGAGAAACATGCAAGAATACTGAAGTGGGTGGCATATGATTTAGAGTTTATATCATTGGGTTTAGATATGCGATTTAGGCAGTGGGCACATAACAGTATAACAGCGTACTGCACTATAGCAGGTGAGAATGGCTTAGAGTCTTTTACCTACATCTCAAATAAATACAGACTGGGAAGAGAAGATATGTTCAGATATTTCCAGGTCAGAGACTATTTCAATAAAGAAATCAAACAATTAGACAATATTGAATCCAATTTGATTAATATATTTACTGATGCATATAAGGCTAAAGACAGCAAACACTTAATATCACAAATTTATAAAAGACTACAAAACTCCAAAAGCCATTCCACTTTCCAGGTTAAGCAGAAATGGGAGAGGGAGTCTGGCCTGGAGATATCTGAGGATGACTGGAGGGATATTTGGGAAGGTCAGGCCAGGACCACCAATTCCAGACGAGGCGAGAATTCTGCTGGAAGAACATAATAAGATTTTTTATCACTCCAAAACTGAAATTTAAACAGCAGGGTTTCCGGGGTCAGGATATATGCTGGAGGCAGTGTGGAAAGTCAATGGCTGACCACTATCATGTATTCTGGGCCTGCCCCCTTATTCAACCTAATTGGCAAGAGATTGCTGAAGAAATACAGACAATTTTCGGACTAGAACTAGAGTTTTCCTTTATTGCAATGTATCTGGGGAAATCCCAGATGGACTTATGGCCCAGGATAACTATCTTTATAAAGTACTCTTGGCTGCGAGCAAGAAGGCCATTACACGGAAATGGCTGCAAACAAAGCTACCATCAAGGGATGACTGGACCACAATTGTTGATGATATACATTGTATGGAAAAACTAACTTTCACCTTAAGATTACAGGCTGAGCAGTATACAAAATACTGGGAAAGGTGGACTTCATATTCTGTGGAATGTAACTCACTGACTGTGTGAATATAAAATCCTGTCTTGTACTAATGTATACCCTAAGTCAACCTGTTTGTTCTTTTTTTTAATTTTAATTTTTATTTCTTTATTGTTGTTGGAAAAACCTGAAATCACCAATAAAAAGAAAGTTACAAAAAAAAAAAAAGACTCTTATCCTGATCATTATCGATACCAAGGCAAGACGGAAAATTCAGCTGCTTTGCCAAAAAGCAGCAATGTGGAATTGACATGAGTCTGCCTTAAGGCTTTAAACCTCGCTAGTCTTGCCTGCAACAGGATAAGAATCAAAGGCTCACTGAAGTAAACAACTCTGGGTTGTAGAGGGATGCTTTGATTACATGACCCACTCATGTGAATTCACCTCTGTTCTTCTTCTTCTTCTTTTTTTTTACTTTTCCCTCTGCTCTATTTATTATAAAATAAAAACCACTTCCACTGTCAACCAGTCATTCCCAAGGTCTGCTGTAATGGAGCATTTTGTACATTATGGTTCAAGGGCAAATATGTACACAGCCATGTCTTATATTCTTGTTGTGCTGAAGTTAAAGGAAGACATTACAGGCATTCATGTGCTGGATAATGCAGAAACAAGTTGATTCACAATGTTAAAGCCAACCTCATTTCCATACTCTTCATTTGTCAGTGCCAAGCCTCCGCTCTGGCCTTGTGTGCCACTAAATTCAGCTGTCAGTCCTCATACGGCTTCCTTTCCCCCACTGCACCAAGGCTTTTATTTCCAGGTGTGTGTGTGTGTCTATGGTTTTCTTTGTCTGTGTGTGCTGTGTTAATACTTGCACTGTACCTGCAGTTAGCCGCAGACAGGGATTCTATATTATCAGCGATGTTCTAAGGTTAATTGGATATTAGCTGCAGACGTCAGAGTCGCACGAGGGCCAACTTTATTAAGCCATTATTGTGTGGCCTGATTCCAAATGTCACGCTCCACTGATGTGAATGTTAGACTTTTGATAGTTCTTATCTGATCAGAGGAATATGTGTGCATGAGCAGAAATATCCCCTTTGATGTCTTATTTTAAAGGGTTTTAAGCTCCTCAAAAATAAACATACAAAAGCTCTCAGTGACGCCGCAGCAATTATACACTCCAGAGAAGTGGAGGGGGAAGAAACGTGCTCGCTCTCTACGTGGGAACTAAAATGGCGCTTTGTTTCTGTTTTGAGGTGGGTTTCAACTCCGTCTGTGTGTGCAAATATTTGTTTTGTGTTAGCAGGCGAGATATGCACACATCAAATGAAGTTGTAATTTGTTACGATGGCTTGAGGCGCCACATAACCTCTGTTTGATTAGATTTTGTGCAAGGGACTGTTTGCTGCAGAATGCGGAGTGTTTGCAAGGCAGTTGTGTCATTGTGTGTGTGTGTGTCTTTGTTGAAATGCTTGATGGCAGCAGCAGGCTCGGAGAGGTAAGCATGGAGCCGGAGGGCAGATGCTGATATAACGGTCTGGCATTATCAACTGCCACTCAGCATTAGTTGGCCCCTTACCCTCACTCCATGTCCGCACCCCCGCACTGACTCACACTCTGCCGCCTGCTTGGCCACTCACATAGATTAACACTGGTACACTGTGCTTGCATTTAATGGAATACACACACTGGAGAACACACACACACACACACACACACACACACACCTTGCAGTAATAGTTCCATTTCTCCCTCCGTTATGCGCTCTGTCTCTCTCACACACACATACACAGAGACAAACTCTTACTGTAATGTACATTACAGACAAATGAACCTTTGGAGGAGGCTGGGGCGGGCTGTCACTGATGGTTTCCCGTACAAACTGCCAAGACAAGAGGCGATGACTACATGTGGACGTTTTTTGCTCCATTAAATTAACTCTCCCTTTGTCTGTATTGGACTGAGGAGGGCTGCTGGGTCATCTGGCAGAGCAGAAAAATCAACATGTTTAAAAGAAGGGGAGATAGGGGATGATGAATTCCCTGATTTTTTTTTACTGACATTTTGGCCACAATTATGGTAATGC